TTTGAATTGTGTATTTTTCAGCTCACATAACGCATGATGATCTGTTTTTACGATGAATTTCTTGTGTCTCAGGTAATGAGCAAATTTGCGACAGGCGTATACGACGGCAGCACATTCTTTTTCTGTGGTTTGCCAACTATACATATATTTTTGTAGTTTACATCCAAAGAAATAGACAGGATTCCAATTTCCTTCTTCATCTTTTTGCGCTAAAATGCCTCCGATTGCGACAGCTGAGGCATCGACTAATAAAGTAGTTTCTCTCTCAGGATAGAAATGAGTTAATAAGCATTTACTTGTTAGAGATTCTTTGAGCCTTTGCCAGCTCTTTAAGGTTTCGTCTTTTAATGTAACAGGAATACCTTTGTATTTCTTTTTGACCAGTTCTTGTAAAGGTGCAGCGATTTTTGCGAAATTTTCAATAAACCGAGAGAAATAGTTGAATAACCCAAGGTGCGAGCGAACTTGATTCTGAGAAGTTGGAGGATTAAGGGCCTTAATCCTCTCAATCTTCTTGGGATCAGGTCGAATCGTCTTTCCAGAGACCAAGTGACCAAGACAAACAATCTCTGTAGCTCCTGCTTGTAGTTTCTCGTAGATGACGATGTCATCAAAGTAACCGAAACAGCATGTATACTTGAGTTCTCCAAGAACTTTGTTGATGACTTCTTGAAAATAAGAAGGTGCGTCTGCTAGACCCATAGGTAATCTTTTGTAACGGTAACAACCATCTTCTGTTACAAAACTTGTTTTATCTCTCTCTTCCTCAGGAATTTCTAATTGGTAATAACCTTGTGCAAGGTCCAATGTAGTAAAATACTTGTTACCTTTTAGTTGGTTGATTGCATCGTCAATGTTGGGCATTGGAAATTTTCTTTTTGCGATTAGTTTGTTGAGTTCGATATACGAGGTCACCATACGCCAAGTACCATTTGGTTTTGGGACTACAAATGCTGGTGCTCCTCCACCAATATCGGAGTCTTCGATGATTCCATTTTCCTTAAATTCTTTGATTATTTTTCTCATTTCGTTTTTCATCTTTTCACTTGACCGAAATGGTCTACACTTTGGTATAACATTGTTTCCAATATCAATTTTAAACTTGGTGAATTCGGCTGGTACACAGCCAAGGTCGAACTTGTTGGAGGAAAAAGAACCTTTTTCCTCTAACAGAACTCGATGTATTTGTTGCTTTTCACTTTCACTTAATTCTTTATTTATTTGTTGATATAATCTTGAGTCAAGATTATTGATGTTTTCAGGAAGATCAATCATTGAATCTTGAAATTCTTCGATTCGATTGATTAAGAATGGAGCATCTTCTTGGTAATGCTCTCTAAGAAAGTTAATATAGTTTATTCTCACAACATTAATTTGGGGTAGATTGAGTTTTAACTGTTGATTAAATTGCTGATTAATCTCTTCACTATTTGTTTGTTGAGTTATAAGTTGATTTTCACTTTGATTTTGTTTTTGATTCCCTTTTGAATCAAATGTTAACTTTGATGATGAATGAGATGGTGACTGAGTCAAAAGGTCCTTTTGACTCAGCTTTACCAATTTTCTCATATCATAGTTCGATTGATACCATTTTTGTAATAACATTTTAATTTCATTTAAATCAGGAATTTCCATCCTCAATTTGTATTCTTTGTCCAGATTAATGTGTCTCAAGGCATACGGTTTATCCAATCCATTTGCGACTATTACCAAATGTGTTGCTTTTATTATATTTTCACCTAACAAGATGTCGTTTGAAAGATCATCTATCACATAGGCGGCAACGAGTTTAGGTTCATTATCATTGTAGACTTTTAAAGGGACAAACCAATTACACGTGATAACATTTCGATTTGCTGATTGGAATTTCAAGTTGTAGGGATAGGCGAACAGCCCCAGTCTGACGGCAAGGTCCTTGCTTATCAGACTGGTGCAAGCTCCCGTATCGAACATCCCTTCAATTTGAATGTTGTTGATTTTAAAGGTTATCATTGGGTGACGAACTTTTTCCGTTGAGTCATTTTTACTCTTACTAGCTATTAACCGCGTTGTGTTAATACTACCATCGCTTAATTGCTCTTCCACTTCCACGTTGTTGGCTTTATTTGCCACTGAGCTTTGTTGATCTCTTTTGGGTCTTTTCTCAGGGAATTTTGACCAGCAATCTTCTTCAACGTGAGTTGAGGATTTACAATGGTTACATTTAGGTTTAGAATTTGTTGTTGATGATGAAGATGAAGGTTTACCATTTGACCTCCAATTTGAATTTGAATTTGAATTTGTATTTTCTTGACCTTGAGATGGTCTTAATCTTTTACCTTCTACTCTGGCTTTATTTTTCTGCCAATGGCCAATCACTTTGGCTTTTATTTTCTCGATATCTAGGTTAATGATTTCAGGTATTATCTCATTTTGGAGATAATACGGTAATGAGGACAACATTAAGAGTGCCAGAGTTTTACTCGTGGCCTCAGGGTAGACAATTTTCAATGATGATTCAATTTTCTTAAAATGATCCCTTGGATCATATCGAGTATCATACCTTTTTTGTACCGTATTATAAATGGCATCAGCTTTTTCGCTTGATGTTATTGTTGAGTTGATTAATTTTTCTTTCCATTCCTCGTATTGAATGAAAGGTGATGATGAGTTTAGTTGTTCAGCAAATTCTCTAGCTTCATTTTCTAGCAGAACTGTTGAGTGTTCGATCCACGAGCCCTTGGAGGGGTCTAAGGTCCTTAGATCCCACTCCAAGGCTTTGATGAAATCTGTAAATGATTGTTTTTCTTTATTAGGCCATCGTCTCTTATCGATTCTTTTAAGAGCTTGTTGTTGGGCAAAATTTAATTGTTTTTCTTTATCTTGAAGATTTAGTCTCTCTAGACTTTGTAACATGGTAGTTGATTCCATTGATGAGTATTTGTTTGCCAATAGAGTGGCTACTGCAGGGGGAAGATCCAAATCTTCTTCCATTTGTTTCTTCGTATACGCTTTAAAACGCTCAATTTGGTATATCTTAGCTCTAATTAGAGTACTAAGGGAATCAAAATCAAGACCAATCCTTCTTAATTCAATTCCATCCATCCATTTAACAGGAAACTCTCGCTTTGAGTCGATTCCATAATCGAGTGGAAGTTCTTCTCCATCCGATTCAAACATTTGTTGTATTACCTGGGCTTCCCAGATTTCTTTCTGTAATTTTACATCAGGTTTTTGAGTTGGGTTATTAATGCCCCACTCAATGGCGATTCCAATGAGTTCATTTCTAGAGATGTTTTCATTTCTAGCTTTGGGATGAGTTGGAGATCTTTTGGAGTTTTCACAAAACATTTTCACCCTTTATTTCACCACTTAATCACTTAACACTTATCACAGTTATAGATGTTCACCGAAAGGACAATCGAAGGTTGAGTGTTGGGGGAACAAGGGCCTTGTTCCCGAACCAACACAAGAGACCTTTGAAGTGCTGGAATCAGGAAACGGAAGTTTTAAGCTTATGGGTTAGCCCGAAGCTTACTTATAGGTTGTTTCTTAAAGGTGATTATAAGAGAGCTCAATTTGAAGAAACTTTCGCTTTAAATTAGCAGAGACATCTCCACCAATATGTAAGTATATTTGTACTAAGACAACCCTACCAGGGATTCCGAGAAAGGATGAACTAATTCTAAGGCGAAGTTACTTTTAGGAATAGCACTTTTATTAATTGAACGTATTTAATTTGGGGTTAGTAAACATGAACTGTGGTTAAGTAAATTTGAAGGTTAATTAAAGGGGTTTAAGCAAAAGATTTAACAACAATAAAGAGAGTGAGTAATTAGAATTTTACAGTAATTAAAGAGAGTAACACTTGAAATCTAATTCTGATTAATTGTGTGTTTGTATTGGCTTTTTATATCAATTGCCCTAGAGGTTAAAGGGAGAAATTAAATGTGTCACGTGGTATTTAGATAAGAAAAATAGGGGAAAGAAATAAGATGACGTAATCGATGTCTAATCCCCTTACAATTATCATCCTCATCCTTTGACTTATCATCATCATCAGAATCATTCTTGTCACATACCATTGATCCTTTTTTCATCATCACTATTTACACACACACACACACACACACTCAGTGTATCTTACAAATTTGACTTTTTTGTTTCGATTCATCATCATCATGAGCATGAAGATGATCATCATGAAGATGAGGTTCATTGTGATGATAATGATGATGAAAGTTTCTTCAATGAATAAAGAACATTCATTTTCTATCATCATTTTGTCTTCATCAACGTTTTTTTCTTCTCTTTTATTGGGGGACGATAACTCATTCGATGATGATGATGATGATGATGATAATTTCTTTCTCTTTCTACAAATGTCATCATAATTTCATCATCTTCACTTTTTCATTCAGTCTGATTTCTTGTCTGTCAGTTTTTTCATTCCCCCTGCATCATCATCAGCATCATCTTCTGTCTACCAAATTATCATCGGATTCATTTGTTGTTATTACGATATTATCATCATTGATTCAACGATAATCATGATAATAGCCATGAGCATTACACTGACCATTGGCATTAGTCATTGTTAATCAAGATAAATTGTCAACTTGATCAACGTATTTCAAATACAATAATAGTCACTGATTGTATTTCAATTCAAAAATCAGTAACATTAATGAACTTCCAATGAATCAAATTAATGAATATCCAATATTATCAATGAGTATTAATAATTTTCTGTAAAAAAAGAGATATTTTTATCCATTACAATTAAGTTGCAATCATTTATTACACTTAAAATCATGATGATTAACTGAATCAACGATAATCATGATCAGAAAAAGTTCAATTCTGAGTAAGCAGGAATTTCGTTTTCTCCAAATGAATCTAAATCTAATTCCTATTTCGATATTAATTACATTTGAATAACATGGGAAGAGAAAAGAGAATCGAGATATTAATGTAACTAATCAAATCTAATTATAATTAATTAACTTATTATTTTCCAGGTTCTGAACATTTTTTCACCATATTTTTATCATCATCAAATAATACTAATTCTAATGGTATTTTATCATCAACAATTAACTTTAATCACAATCGTACTCGATGCTCAACATTTCAAGGCATGTTTGGTAAGTACAATTAACTTAATTGTAAATTCAAAACCTCTAACCACAATCTGATTACCATGAAAATCATTGATTAAAATCAAATTCATTATATAATTACCACAATTATTTTAACATTACAACAATTAAACTAATCTAATAATCAATTTACGAGCAAACAAATTTTCAATTTTGTTTACTCAAAGATGATAATTCAATTAATTGATTTAATTGTATTTCTCATGCAATTAATATACTAAATATTAATTATCTTGCAATTTATTAACAAATTATTAATCATTATATTTGATATTTTCATTTGTGTTACCTGATATTAAATATTATCATTTGATTAAATAACATAATTAACTTCAATGATAATTATATTGTACACTTAATATTAGAGCAATTTATCATTGATACTATGGAAGATTAATTTTGTTTCTTTATCATGATAATTATCATGATTAGTATTCTGGTTTAGTTGATTTAATCTCAGGTATCATGAGTGATAATGATTAACTAAACAGTGAGGATAATGAATTTAAATATGAGCCTGAATATTGGTAACAATTAACATCCATCCACAGGTCATCCGTTGATTGTTTCCTTCAATATGAGTTACAATTAATTAGCTAATTATGAATGTAAATTTTGTTTTCTTTTTCTGTGTTTAAATAATTAAACATTGTTACCATTTGATATCATGTTACTATCTTGATTAATTGTTATTTACAGCAACCCAAACTCAGCTGATTGTTTGTAGCTCTGATGGAGTTGAAGGAAGATATTTAACAATTAGCGATGCCTCATCTAATTATGAATACTTTGGCCTATGTGAGGTAAAGGTTATGACCGAACGAGGTGAGTTTAATTGTGCATTTAAAGGTAAACAATAAGTATTAATTAGGAGTAATCGAATTGTTTATTTTTCTGTTTTTCTCAATTTCATTCTGGTTCAGATAAATACGAATGTGGTGAAGCTGAAAAACCATTAAACTCATTGCCAATTGAAACTCATAAGGATAATATCGTTTCGTACCAATGTAAGAATGGTTATAATCTCGAAGGTCCAAGTCAACGATATTGTTCAAAAGATGGATCATGGTCTGATGGTCAAGCGATTTGCAGAGGTATTAAATTCATTCATTGACCATAAATACACTTTGGTGTAACCTAAGGGAAGAAAGAACAAAAAATTTCATCTGTCCAAATGAGTAACTTTTCTTTATCATGGCGATGATCTCCATCATCATCCCACCCAAAATTCATTATCATCAATTCCAGATCCTCTTTAACTCATTTCATTCCTCTCTCTCTCTCTCTCTCTCTCTCTCTCTCTCTCTCTCATCCTCCTCTTCCCCCCACTAACTTATTTAATGGTCAACATGGTGAATAATCAATGGATGACCATAAGATTAATGTTTGAATCATTGAAACAAACTTTTATTACATCTCCAAATTGAATCTCATATTCAATTCCCGCCTTTTTACAATCACTATCAAAGATTCAATTTTGTTTCTTCATCATGAAATCAGATTGATTACCATCATCATCATGATAATCAAAAAAAAAACCTCCCAGTGAATTAAAGTGATATGATAATATTACTATACAGGATATAAAACAGTTGATAATCTTATATAATGTATTATCATTAAGCTTTTTCCATTGGTCATTCTGATGGACATTAAGTCATGTTAATTATACACCATCATCATTAAAAGTTAAGCTTTGTCACATAGGGATAAAAGTTAATTATAACTTATAATTAATCCTGCATATTAACAATTTAATAGTTGAGTGTATCGATATCAATGAGTTGACATGATATATAATGATGATGATGGTGATGATGATGATGATGATCAGCCAAATGAATGGTTATCGTTAATTGTTGAATTTGAGATTTTTTTCCTTCACCTTCTATTAGATTTTTGTGTCTGTTTTCAAGTTAATTAATAGCAATTTAAGACTAAATTAGATCAACAATTAAGCGTGCAAGGCAAAGGGAGTCAATTTAATTCTAGAGTTGATTAATTGTCTGATAATTAACTAACCAGATTTACGAGTCATTAACGAGCTCACACTTTCACTAATCAGGCAAGATTATTATATAAGATGAATAGACAAACAAAAAATTGAACCAACTAAATTTTAAATTACATTAACAAATTAACGAAAGCTAATTCAACTTAATTACTATAAATCACAGCAATTAAAACCAGGAATTACCTTACAATTTGAATGATTAACTAATCCAAACATTTAGTTAAGAGTCAAACTTAACGTCAAAGTTGATCATCACAATCAAATCTTTAATCAACTAACATGAAAACATTTACCGTTATGGATGAAAAAAAAAATTAAATTTTGCGATTTTCATTCAATTTGATTGATATAATAGGACAGAAATAGTTAAACCAATAACATGATATTAATTATATTAAATAATTAATTTCTATCAAAGTAGAAAATAAAATTGAATCAATTTAATACAATAATATGAATGTTAAGTAAATAAGTTTGTTTTTTTTGTCGACTTGTTATTTAGTCTTAATTTAATTGCAATTACATTTTAACATTGATTGAATGTAACATGATATAATTTCATGATTCTTTGATATAATTCTGATACTAATGATAATGAATATACTATGATAACCTTGTTTACCTATGTAATATAACATTGAGAGAGAGACTCAGATAAATGAATTTAGATCTTACCTTGAATTAATGTTTAATAAACAACAAGATTGAGAGAGGAAAAAAAGTTGAATATTCCCATAGGATATAAGTATTAACAAAGATAACAATCAATCTTAATGTATTAAGATGAATTTCATGATTCAGTTAATTGTAATGATAACAATATGATGAAACTCCTATGCGCCACCTTCATAATGATTATTATTCAGATTAAATTATTGATTAGTTGTTAATGATTGTGTGTGTGTGTGCGGGTTTGATGAGATTAAGAAAAGGTAAATATTACCTTTAGAAAAGTAATTTAAATATGAAAAGGATGAATTAAGAATCAATGATAAAGTTGATAGTCAGGGTGAGAGTTGGAGGATGATAAAAAAATGAGCAATAAAAGGAGAATGAGAAAAAGAGTAGTTAATGAAGGGAGGAGAAAAGAACAAGGTGAAAAAAAGGGAGAGTGGAAGATTAGATTCTAAGGAGAATGTTATATGGAATGAAATTGAATAGAGAGAGAGAGAGAGAGAGAGAGAGAGAGAGAGATGAAATTGTCTTTGGTATTTTATTATATTCCAAAGGTAGGGGAGAGATGAAATATCTTCTTGGATGTTGGAAGATATTACATGACCCTTGAGGCAAGAGAAGAGCATAAATCATGATGATAATGAATTTGTGAGCCTATTATACTTCCTCTTCCTCCTTACACCAAATCCACCCCACTCTTACTCTCTCTCTCTCTCAGTTTATTTCCTAAGTTTCTTAATATCATCCTCATCTTATTGTTACCATTATTATTATGGTTATCATTTTCTTACTATTACAACTTAGATACTCCTACTTGTTAAATTTATATTTATTTTCGTTTATTATCATTCCCTGTTTTTTTTTGTTTCGTGTCTATGGATTTACTTTAATATCTAGAGGTAACATGTAAGCAATTGGAAACCCCTTTGAATAGTAAGATGATAATCAATGGGCTCAATTCAAATAACAGGGCAACTGTATTGAGTCAGGCTTATGTTCAATGTGATCCAGGCTATTCAATCGTTGGTCAGTCTCGACTTGTCTGCATGTCCACTGGCCAGTGGTCAATGGAAATTCCTAAATGTATTGGTAAGTCAAAATAAACAAATAGGATGTCGGGCTTATTTATCATTCTTATTGCAAATCTGTAACTTGGATTATTCAAATTCACCAGATTATCTCAATATCTTTTTATCTCTTTACATTATTATTAACTACTGACAAATGATAACTTTTTGTCTGTAGGTCATTATTTTTGACCATTTCAACTAATATTTGTTTATGACTTGCTTTCGCTATCATTATCTAATATTGTCCAGCTATTGACTGTGGATTACCTAGAAATGTATCACCTGAATCAACCAGATTTATCCTTCTCAATGGAACCACAAAATATGGTTCCATGGCATTAATGGAATGCTCAAATGACCAAGGATTACCTGAAACAGAAACGATAATATGCCAAGACGATGGCCAGTGGTCAGTTACTTATCTTTCTTGTTACAATGGTCTGAATAAGAATAACGATAAAGGTAAACTAAAAATTTCATATCGATTATCAATGAGCTCGTTTAATGATAAATTAACATTTACTCTAACCTATTATTGTATTTTTCAAATCAATTAGTCTCTCATTAATGATTGTAATCATTTATATCCTGAAGGTTTATTTCATGAATATCATCAACTATTTACTTTTTTATTATTGATCAATATTCATTCATTTACAGAGACTAAGATAATATTTATCATTGATGAATTGCATTTGCATGAACCTTTTTTATCATTATCAACATAAACTGATGAAAACTATTCAATATCATCATTATCTACATCATGTTGATCATTATCATGACCAGGAAACACCCTGAAGGGTTATGAGTAACTGTGTTAATAACACACATCCTTTTAATCATGTTTGATTGTTTAAGGATCAATTCTAAGCATCATGTTAATCATACAGGGAAACATTTGATATTTGGGTAAACAATCAGTTGAAGGAGGGGCAACAATTCCTATGGAAATTGATCTGAATGAAGGTTGAGAGAGAGAGAGAGAGAGAGAGAGAGAGAGAGAGAGTTGTGTTGATGATGAAAAGTTCTGATCAGAACTCGAGAAATTCTGAAATTGGATGGACAAAGACAAATATCCTTGAATCTTATTCCAAGTGGATGATAAGTTGATTAGTTGCAAGTGTGAATTGGAATCAACATAAAGATGATAATTGATGATTAAGATGAAGATGGAGGATAAAAGAGAAAAAAAGTTCTGAGAATTTTCTTCCTTCCCAAAAGAGGTCAGATATTCAATGTAAACATCGGAATCTTATTTTTCCTCCCCACATACATGATAGTCATATTCATCGATGAAACATTTACGTCAAGTGTCACATTTGAAGATTCAATTGTTGTTGATGAATTGTAAGAATAAAGAAAATCAATAAAATAAGATTATTCTGAATCATGATGTTCATGATAATTATAATTAAGAATTCAAGTATCCAAGATGAAATAACAATAATCAAATGTGAACTTGAAACAATCAGTAAACAAGATTAATCTGATTAATCTTAACATGAACTAAACTAATAAGGATTAGTGGGGAAGAAAAGTTCTGAACCTTCATGATAAATGATGATGATGAAATAAAAAGTCAGGAAGCAGAATTGGAAAATGTTTCAATTCAATATGGTTGAAAAAGACAATGAGAAAGAATCTAAACTGAATTAGTTGATTGCTGATCGTTGACAATGATAAGTATAACAATTTAAATACTTTTTCGACTCACGATTTCATCGTCGATTCTGATTTAACCAACAAAACCAAAGTTAAAAAAGTTCTAGAACATAATAACTCTGTCTCTCTCTCTCTCTCTATTTTCCTATGGTAATTTATTACAATAACATTTCATGTATCATGAAATAATGTATCAGTTAAAAAGGTTTACAGTCAACTATCATTTATCATTTGAATGAACTTTTTTATTATCAATCTAATCACCATGAAATTGTGATAATAATGATAACTTTTTTATTTACATGATAAATGAATCTGAATATATATCCTATCACTGATTATAATGGTAGTCGTAATAATAATTTATAACTAAATCTTTTTTTTTTACTCGCTTATTTCAAATGTTTAAAAATCATCATTACGAGAACCAGAAGTTCAATTCAGAACTGAATTAAACTGAACATTTATTTCAAAATTTAAGGGTGAAATAAATGATAACGGTGGAAAAATATTTCACCCACTAATCACCATGAAATTGAAGTAATTAAAGATGAAATTAATGAAACTTTTTACATTTCTTTCGATTGCAAAATGTTGATAAGTTTCAAAGAAAAAGTTTTTTTTCCTCTTCTTTTTTTTCAGAAAAAAAGTTCTAAATGAATCGAATTGATATTTTATCAAGAATGATGAATTTTTTTGGTTATTAAGTTGATCGGATCTTGGAATTGCCCTGAAGGCATAGGTTCAACATCTAAATTTGTTGTTGATTGTTCAGGTTTTTTTCACTCTTCTCATTAAGTTAAATCAAGATTCACAAAAATCCCTCAGGGCAAAATTACCTAATGATTTGTCATCGAGGTGAGATTTTTTCTTACTCCCTCAATCTAACATTTAATTGGTAACAATTAGAGTTGATGATTAAGAGCAGATTTATTTTCTGTCTCAATTGTAATAAGAACTAATTTAACTAAGCTTGTATATGATAATGATCTAATTGCTAATTTAATTGTTGAATCTTTGATTGATTATCAGGGGATAGTTTTGTCCAAAGTCAATTGAATTTGGGAAACTCTGGCAATGGTAATCTAATTACAACTCTGGTGATTATAATTGTTGTCACTCTAACCATAGCAATCGTTTTATTAACTGTTTTGCTATTGAAAAGGTTTGTTCAACAATTTAATTTGAATTTAAATCCATTGGTTTATCTTGACGTTTTGTTTTCATTTTCTTAGGAAATTTTTTTCTGTTAAACTGGTCACTTGGCGTGAGCACAATCACAGCGATGGACAAACATGTAAAGGTATCACAACAGGATCACAATATCATCGACATAAACGTCTACGGTCAACTTTGAGATCAGTTCGTCGGCAACTTGGCTTTCGAAGTGACTTATCTTTATTTGGTTCCCTGAAAGGTTCAATTCCTTCACCACCTTCATCAGATACTCAGACTGTCGATGGGTCACCTCATACGAAAATTGTTTCAGCGACGATTTCATTAGGAAAAGTTCAATCATCGATGGGAACGCAAGAACAACCATTATCTGTGACCAATGGTCAGTATGTTTGCTATGAAAACGATAATGCGACCAATGATTCTGGTCAGTTGATTGTGTCTGAAATTCAAGAATCGCTACAAAGTGAGATGCAAACGGGAATCGGTGTAACAACATTCGAAGCGATCAATGAAAACTATGAGAGTTACCAAAATTTCCAGAGCTTCAATGAAATAGTCCCACCGGTGGTTCCAAGTAGACCAACAGTGTCATTAATAGACCAGAAAATGTTACCAAATGAACGATACTGGTTTGGTGATACTTCTATTAGAACTTCAAGTTCGAGATATTTTACCAGTGAAAATCGTTCAAAGAGGAAAAATATCGCTCTAATTACATCACCATCTCCACCACCCTGTTCATCATTCTTGATGAGCTCTTCCAATGGCCTTGATTTTTTACCCTGTAAGAAGGTTACAACTGATTCTGACAGTTTCAATAATCTGGTTTCCCAGGTTGTTCAAGTGGATATTGAGGTACCTCTTGACGTTATCGAAAGTGTTAATTCACCTGAACAATCAACATCATCAACTATCCCCACTTTCACCATGAAAAGTGATAAAATCAACATTGATAATGGAAAAGTTGATAAAATAAATACAACTGATTCGATTGAGCCTATTGAGCCTATTGGTTTATCAAAACTTTCCCAATCAGCTGATGAAATGTTTGACAGAAAGTTAATGACAATTGACCATTCAAACAAGAGCTACGATGATAATCAGCCTCAATTAGATTTTATCATTGATAAAACAAACTCACAACAATCCAATACTCGTACTGATAACCATCATCACCATGATAGTAATCATCATAATCACACCAATAACCTTGATAATGTAAACAAAAACAACAAAACTGATACTCATGAACAAAGTAATGGTCATCTCAATGCTTTATCCTCAAATAATAATCTTAATTCAGCTAATAATAGTGTTAATGGTCAACCTTCATGCGAAACCTTTGTACCAACCTTATCATCACCATCAACATCATTTCAACAACCTTCAGCATCCTCATCAGTACCAGTGACCATTAATGGTTTACCATTGATTCAACAACAACAATATGATAACAATTCAACATCAGATAATCTTGATATCTCAATAATAACCCAGAAAAGTTATCACTCATTTTCATCTGCATGATAATCAAATAAGCTGAAAATTGATATTAATCTCATGCCAAATTTTTTTTTCTTAATTGCAAATAATCAAGTGCTAAAGTAATATAACAATAAAAGATAATCAAGATTGAACAATTTAACTTGTTTCCATTAAAGGAAAATGATTCCATTGGCTGAAATTGAAACTTCAAGAGTTAATTAAGTTAATCAAGATTTTATATTGTCCAAATTAAACTGAATACATTTACTGAATAAAAAAGTAACAATAAATTGAAATCAATTACTTGTGATGATGATTAAATTTAATCAATCGGCTCAATAGTTTAAATTAAACTTGTTAATCTAAAATTTTCATAACAATTAACTTTCTCATTATCACAATTTAGATTAATTTTAATCATTATCTTGATCAAGAAAAGAGTTAATTATCGAGTAAGAAAAAAAAATTTGACAAAAAAACAATTCGAAAGTTGGAAAAAAAAATAACTAACTTTTTAAGCTTCCATTGAGATGAAGTTAATAATAGGCTTGAATCTTAATTATCTTGAACGAATGATAAATGAATTGTTATTACAATTTAGTAATTAGTCTTGTAGCCAATGATTATTTACCAAAATCTTACGATCAAAGTTAATTAGCATAATAATAAGTAATTAATAAAATGTTAAGAAAATTTTCCCTCAGATTCATGGGAGGAAAAAAGTTCTGATGGAAAAAGTTTGTCAAAATTTTCACTTCTATTGATTATCATGAAGATAATAATAAATATATAACAATGAGGTAGTTTAATTTAATGACAATCATTTGATAAATTACTTTTATCATGTAACAATCTTGAACCATGGTAACAGAATCGGAATCCTGAGTAATGGACAATATGAAAGGTTTTCAATTTAATTAATCAAAGTTAATCATTGGTTTCAATAGTTACGATAAAGTTTTTTGATCATTTAGTTATTTCAAATTGACACATATCATGTTCAGGGGAATCGTGAATATAAAGTTCAATTGTTCCGGAATTGTTTCTATTTCCAAGTAAATTTGATTGACATGAATTTGATTCTTCATTTCTAGAATTTTTCAGTTTCAACTCAAATATATATTTCAATCAAAGGAATAAAATTGATGCTATATTTTCAACATTCTATCAGAGTAAATTTCCTAATCTACTGAACAAAATGCTCTGTTTACTGCGAAAATTCATGGAAAAACCAGAGGGCGCCTCAAGAACATCGCATGCCCATGATAACATGAGGAAATATTTTTCTCTCTTCCTTTTCCTTTTTTTCCAGAACTCAGAATCCAGTTGTAGTCTTATCATGAACTATCATCTATCTCTTAGCAGTTCCAAGTGAATCAAATGAAAGATTCAATGTTTTTATCATGCTCATTGTGATATATAAATAAACATTTACAACTAACCTGATCAATTGTGATCATTCAAATAACACTGAGAATAAATTTTATATTAATTGTGATAAATTAAAGTTTCATCATCAAGTTTACTATTAGTTATCAAGTTTTACTTGTTAACTTGTTGAACTGATTTACAATCATCATGATTGATTCATATTCATGGTAAAAAAATATACAACAACACCAAACAAATATCCATATAAATTGAAGGATTAGTTTTTATTGATGTTACGAAAGAAAAATCAATTTGATTGTTTATATGTTATCATGATTAATTAATCCAGTTTAATCCATCAACACTGATCATAAGTAATCATTAATCATCATCATAATTATCATGGTTACTTTGTGTGTTCACTATTAATAACTTCAGCCATTTAAATCATTAATTTATTAATGTGTGATTTAAGTTAATCAATTATTTGATTATTGATTTACTAAGTAATCTAACAATGGCTTTAATCAGTCTTAATCATCGTTTTAATCATTACCAACTATTTGTTTATTATCTAACCTTGATTGACATTTGCCTATTGATAGGAATTGATTCAACTGATCAAATTAAGATAATTGAATCAAATGTAACAATTTATTCAGATAATGAAACAAATTATTTTAATCTAAGTGCTGTAAGTTTATCTAATCAATTTAAATCAGCAAAAATTGATGATAATTTAACAACAACAACAACAACAACAGAATCAACAACAATCAATAAGATTAACGTGATTAACTTTGACGAAGGTGAACAATTAAGAAATGAATCAACAATTAGTGTTCCAAAAGAGTTACCAATAAAATTATCAACTGATAATCCAATTGATTGTGTTAATACAACGGTTAATTTAACAGTAATTAATGATATTATTAATTTAACAACAACAAAATTAACCAATAACAAGTTGGTTGATTTATCAATAGTAACTAAATTATCATCAAATATGATAATGATCAAACCAGTTAATGATACAAATAATATAACCATTAACAAGGTTGATTATAATCAACATCATCATGATAATGATTCAGTAAATGATGATAATAATAATTTGGTTAAAATGAAATTAAATATTACAAGTAAAAGTGTTGAAAGTTTACCTGAAAAAAATTCATCGGTTAATGATGTTGATAATCAACAAACAATCAATACAAGTGTTAATGGTTTCAAAGTTAATCATGATCATGGTGTTAATTTGAATCATGATGATGATGAAATCATTTCAACCCCATTCTCAATCAACATTACCACCAGTATCACCACAGGTACCATTGATAATTATGTTAACAATGGACCATCTAAATGGTCAGTGAATTTAACAAACAGTGACCATAATAATAATGGTAACAATAATAATGATCATCACCATTTACCTGATGATGATAATGAGTATCCTCATGGGAAATTTCAACAACATCATCAGACTAAACTTGACCAGCATGAAATAACATCCCAGTTACAGGTATCATCAACTGATGAAGATGAAGATTCTGATTCTGATTCAGGTGGTCAAATTGTTGTCATTGGCGGTGTTAACAATCCTGGTGTTGGTACCGGAACTACTGGTGGCAGTGGAGGCATCAATGATGGTGAAAGTGACCTGTACCTTGTCTCATCTCGGCGAAAATGTCAACCTTCACATTCACATGGGATCTATTGGGATTCAATTGATGCCTCACTCATGGCGAGTAAACTTTGCCCTTCACCCTACATGGGTACAGCTTATCGAGCTTGTTATTCAATGGGACACTGGGACACTCCCGATCTAACCGAATGTCGTCTTCCTCATCTTCGTGAGATCCAAAATCTGGTAAGCTCGATAATCAAAAACATTTGCTACTCGATAAAACTTTCCAAAGTTGACAATCAGAATTGTTTCATGATAATAAGTTTTTCAGTTCCACTTTTCTGTGAGTTGTTCAGATTTCGTGTTCTAATATTTTTGCTCATTGATTGTTGGTTCTGTTTTTTCTTGTGTCGTTGTTTATTTTTCAATCAATATCAATCTTACCAAATTAGTTGAACAATTTATCTTGATAGTGTGTCCATGTTGTTAGTTTATCCTCAAGGAAGAAGCCATGAAAGAGGAAGTTAGATGAAAGCAAAAAAAAAAGTTCCAATCAATTAAATATTGATCAAGATTCATGATGATGCTGAAAGGAAGAGGAAGAGGAACATTTGATAAGATAAAATCAAAAAGAGAAAAAAATAATAAAACTTTCCCGAGAAGATAAGAAATTAAACAATCAAATTATAAACTAAATCGTTCGCTAATCAATAGCAATTTAAAACTTTTGAGACTACACGAAAATCCTTAGCTCTCAAATTATCTCAACAATAAAAAGCAATCCAAGAATCGGTAAACTGGTGATAATATAAAAAATTTACATGGAGAATTGATGATAACTTGATAATAGGAAATAAAGTAGAGAGGAGAAAATTTTTCCCATAAAAATGGATGAAGAAAAAAAAAAGGGAATCATTTTTTCACAGGTAACATTATAATACAATATAAAAACAACAACAGCAACAATGAAGATAAGGATGAAGAGTTGAAGTGAGATGATGATGATAAATGCTATCAAATGTTAGATGAAGGAGGAAGATGCAAAACTAACGGTAAAAAAAGGCTTCAAAAATGTATGATGATGAAAAACCTAAGACAATATAAATCTTGTTAGCAGTCATCCATGTTAAAAGCATAGGAAGCAAATGTCAGCCATGTTTGATTCAGCAGTTTACTGAATGAAACTTGAAGCAACCATGATAATGGTGATTGGTAAACTTTTTGTTTCTTATTGCAAATATGAGAAAATGATGGTTACTAAGAATGAGTGAGAAGAGAGAGAGAGAAGCGAGATGAAATTCTGAGTTATATTCTTTGGAATTTTATTCCCATTTCTTTACAGAGTTGTTATCAGAACTTTTTGTCTCCATTATATGAACAATGACCGTGCAATTCGTATCTTATGGTTACTTGTTTCGAAAGAAAATTTACTCTTTCTTGTTTCTGATCGATTATATTCAAATTTTGAGTCAAAATTCATGTGAAAATATTATCATGAGAATTTTGAACTCTCAACGAAATTCAAATTCTCTGTGTTAATTTTCACTATTGAACAAGAAAACGACAACTTCACATGATTCCAAATGATATAATGATTATTTCGTGACCGATAATTTTCAAAGAAAAAATAAAAATCGAAAATGTAATTACGAGATGAGATAAAGGATAGAAAGTTCTTGAATTCAGAATAAAGTGATAAGCGGAAACATGTGATATGAAGGTGAAGTTCTGGATAAAAAACCTCAAGTTACGCCATAGTTTTTATTATATATTAGCCTGATTCGAATTGAAATTCATTTACATAATAACATTTTCAATGAGAAAAGTGTTCATGTTTACCATGGATGAGAAAAAGGTGATTCCTAGAAAGTTCTGGTTTCAAAAGGCTTGATTCTTGGGGAAAAAGAAGAAGAAAAAAATTTCTAAAGTTATTATCAATTTATGAAAACTTTTCCTTCTTCCTATTGATTAATATTTTACATGCTAATAACCATGGTAATAATAACAATATTATGATAGTATTCATTTCGGTGTTTCATCCTGAATCAGATTCAGAATGTGAATTGAAATAGAAAAGCAAAAAATTTCTTGGTTGTGAATAAAAAATGAGGAATGAATAGAAAACGGATAAAATCATGTTTTCCATGATATCAGCATGAGAATATAAAAACAACTCGAATTCATGGAGATGGAGAAATTCTGTTTATACATGTTGGAAGAAAGAAAGAAATCTCAAAGAGAAGAAAAGAAGAAAAAAAAAATAATAGAACTTAGAACTCGATTAGAATTATAATAAGAGAGGAAAAGTGACGAACTTAGTTAATCTCAGTTTCCGTTTCAGAACTTCACAAGTTATTTCTATATCTTCTGATGATAATGTTCCCCTGAATGTGTGACTAAATGATGATAATACATCTGAACAATGAGCATGAGAATTGAAAAGGTATCATGACAGGAATAGTTTTCTTCATGATTCCATCAAAAAAAGTTATCACAAACATGGAGACTAAATTTTTGGAGAGATTTTTTTTTTCTTCTTGACATGAAATTTGTTCAATTGAATTATCAAGGTAACCTGGTTATCAGAATTCAAGTGAACTTTCAATCTACCATGATAGTAAAGTTTCAACTAATTTCACGTAAAAGATTTTCAAGAGATTATTTCAAAAGAAGAAGAAAAAAAAGTTCTGACTTAAAAAACATTCGAAATGAGTTTTTTACTTTTTCTCTCATTCTCTTTTCTATTAATACTTCCATCTAATTATCAGGAATATTTATCCTCAATTCTGACCCTGAATAGAATTAAAGTTGAACAAGAATATTTATTTTCATGGTAAATATTTGACTGAATGATTTCAACTCGAGATATTATCATGAAGATAAAATTTAAAAAGTTTTTCAGATAAGCTCAATGTTAACCCAGAGTAAATATCAAAGATAAACAAAACGATCATGAAAATAGTGAAATAAATTGTTGATAAATTGTTACCAGGATATTAATCATTAGCATGCTCATGGTGATGACAAAACCACACCTAAGGAGATAAAGGGAAAAGGGATTAGGGTGAAAATTTTAATCTTTTGAGAGAGAAATATAGAGAGGGGGAAGGAATCACAAATTTTCTTAATTCATTTTGTATCATGAACAATTTTAATGAATTTTCAACCATTTTGAACAACTTTACATTCATTTATCATGTTTGCATGACAGTTTTAATATTTAATCTGAACCACAGCCCAATGAGTCGTAATACTTACGAACCAGAATCTTAATCCTCTGGTGGATTAAAAAAATTTAATCTCATCCCAAAGTATCTTAAATCATTTTGTATTGCTGATAATTATTTCAGTTCATTTAAAAGATTTAATCTGTTAGATTAACCAAAAAGAATTAGGAAAACTCAGAGGATTAATTGTTCAATTATTCATTCAAATTGACTCGATAAAAGTTATCACAATGAACGATCCTATCTCTTAAATTAGGGTGATGATGAAAAGAATTGAGGTCAAATTTAATTCTTAATTATCACAATTTTTGCCCTAACTGAGTTGGAATTAGAGAGATTAGTTGAAGTTGTTAATCCAGTGTAGAGATGGAAATTATCTGAATCAGTTGTTTTCGTTTTTTATTGCGATTTGGTGAAGTTTCGTTTTTCGATTCTGTGTTAATCTTCGATATTCATAGAAAATGATAGAGTTATAAATAGCCACTTTGATGGAAAAAGACAAACGGATGATAAAATGAGAGAATGGAAATTTACTCTGTGGCTCTTCAATTGTTCCATTGAGACTATTACATGAATATTGGAGAAAGAAATTGAACATTTCAAGTTCATCGAATTTTCTGTTTGATCTAATTCTCTTTTTCTATCTCTATCTCTTTATTCCTCTATTCTGATAACCTAAACTTATATCCAAGAAAAGGAGAAGAATAATTTCTATCAGTTGACGATAAAACTTATTCTCTCTTTTCTCTACCTATCTCATGTAAAGATAATAGCAGAATTCCAAATCAGAAATTCAACCAAAAGATAAAAGGAGAAACACAATAATAACATGAAAAACTCAGAAAATCAGAATACAACTCATGTTTGATCACAATTCTATCTGCTGTAAAAACCATCAGATTTCATCTCCATCAACAAACAAAAAATGATAATGATAATGAACTTCATCCATATAAATACAAAGCTCATGATAATATTCATGATATAATCTGATAACCCTTTGCACCATGAATTCATTATTATCATTAGTATTATTTCTGGTTAACTTGTATTCAGAATGATTCCTATTTGTTTCATGATACGTATACAAATATATAACCATGAGAATCCATTAGTGGAAATATCATCTCTCTCTCTCTCTCCCTTTCTTTAATAGGGGTGGATTGATACTGAATATGAGGTGGTGAGAGTTGATAATATGAGAAGATAATAAATAAAAGTCAAGACTTATTGTAATTTATGAATATCTATGGTTATTTTTATCACCATAACATAGTAAATGGATATGAATCCTCTTGATAATTCAAATTTCCTCATGATGATTCAGTTAAACATGGAAACTAATTATCATATGATCTTTCTCTCATCATTAAGAATAACCTTTCTAATATTTTGATATATAATTCCTACCAATGTAATTCTAATTGTAATCATATTTCTCTGATTAATTGATAGATTTTCAAAAGTTTTAAATCAAATCCAAACAGAAATAATTATTAATAATAAAATCAGAAATTCAATTCTCCATGTCTCTAGATTTCATGAGTTTTGTGAGCGTTAAGCCAATCTACTGAGCAGATAAACGCGAAAGAAAAGATTTCAGGTTTTCCAGTTCTCAACAAATCGTCTCAGAAATTCATTTGAATTCAAGCCATAGCGAATCTGAAATCGCCTCTGGGGTTTTCTGAACTATTATCAACTTTTTCTTACACATGCAATTAAAAGCTAAATGAATGCCTTTTAGGAAAATTTTGTAATCTTAAATTATCTGAAATCTACTTGATTTGATTTGCAAAATGATTGATCTGGAGTTGAACTAATCCTAATTAGTTAATATATTTTTGGATTTGATTTTTAATCAGCTGATCCTTGGATTAATTGATTTTAGCTTTTATGGGGAATACAAGCCTGAGAGTTTGCCTCTTTCTAGACTCTGGTCTGAATCTATTCATAAAATCGAGATTAAAATAGAAACTTTGAGTTCACCATCCTGTAGAATTAACTATTCAAGATGTTATCTTGATTTCATTATGGTTGCGAACACAAATGATATCAGAACTGAATGAGAGATAATAAAGGTTGAATTGAGGGTGTAAAAGAAAAGTATCTTTCTTATCATCTAATATCATCACCATAATCATTATAATCGCTATCATGTTAAGAAATTTCAAGATTTTCTCAGACTAAAGTAAGATAATAATTCAGGTTATCTCCTTGTTCATGTAAATTTGATTGATGATGGAAATGAGTTGATGAATGGTAAAAGTGAAAAAATCATCAAATCATGTTCATGATACTACAATTTAAGGTTTTATCGACTTACTCAGAGAGAGATAATATTACTAAGATAAAGAAAAAAAATTCATTCAAAAAAATGAAAAACAGAAGAAAAAAACTCAATCAGAACTTTTTTGGTCACCATGATGATGATGAAACAGTAGCAAGAGGATATGATTACTCTTATTTACTCATGAAATAGTAGGATGAACATTGAGGAAAGATTCAGAATTTCATCATGATTACTTTGAATTCATTAAAATCAAGGTAACAATCAGTATAAACTTGAATCTGTTTACATGAACCGGAAAAGTTGATTGTTAACTAACAATCAGCATCTTCCTAAAAAAAGTAACATTTACATGATTATCACCATGAAAGTTTCAATTTTATGAGCAACCTGTGAACTGGTAACCATAAATATCACTCGATAAAATTGAACTCAAATCAGTATTAGAACTTTTTTTCTGCTTCTAGGAAAAATACATTATATTTTATTAGGATAACAAAACAAAAGAGACTTTGACTTTACCTTGACCAATACCTTTTTGTCTTGACCTAATCTAATAACTCGATAAGATAATAATCATAAATCAGGGTAAATATCATGAGGTAAGACAAATTGTTATGACGATTCTCATGATCCATGATAACAAATTGCCTGAAATGTGAAATGATTACTCATCATGTTTTTTTTATCTCTTTATTTTCCTAAATTCAATTAGTGGAAAAGTTTGTTAACTCTGATTAATTGATCTTGTAAATCATTTGATCAGATGATTACGATGTTCATCTTAATTAGGTGTTAATCTGTTGTGTTCCTGTGGTTTTATTCAATTGTTGAAATTATAAGTAACTTTTATATGTATTGGGATATAAGTAGATTGAGTGAGCTTTCATCCTAAGATTTGCTTCAATTGCAAAAGTTTTAATCATTTTAACCAAACTTTTCTGAGTAAGCTGATTGTTCACTGATTGTGTTATCATGTTAAAGAGGAGATGTTGATGATGAGGAAAAGTAGAAGGAGATTTTGGTGAGGTGGTAATGAGACTGAATAGATCCTGGAGGCTTAATTACTCATGACGATGGGAATGATGATCAGTATTTACCATTGGAGTATATTATCCCCTGGACATGGGCCACAATTTAATTTATTTACTTTGAATGAACTGAAGAGTGTTAAAGATGAGAAAGTAACATGTAAGAGGAGGATGAAGATGAAGATGAAGATGAAGATGAGGATGAGGATGTAGAAATTGGGAGTGGAAAAAACTTCTCATAATCTCATTTGAGTGGTTAAGCTTTTTACTTAAACCATATAAACAACTTACTCTTTTTTCCGCTTCCATTTAAATACTAATGGCAACATGATAATGATTATGATGATGATGGGAAAACATTATAACAGTTAAATTCATACAAAGAATGTGGTTTAATCTGAATCACCTTTTCCTCCCTGAAATTTGAAAACCTTTTCCAATCTCACCACCAAATCAAAACCCATTTTCCTCTGTTTTTCAACACTGAAAAACAGCTTAGCCCTGATGAGTGCAGAATCCATTGAATAACAACCATGAACTTTTGACAGCAACAATTTAGCTGAATCTTAAATTCTGCTGATTCAATGGAACTCCAATATCACCACTCACCATCACTCTCTCTCTCTCTCTCTCACCCTCCCTCCCTTCAAAAACTTCATAAGATGGCAATATTGCAATTGAAATTGTAAGCAAACAATCAATTACTTTGCAACATTATTCAATTGATTGTGTTGATCATCATGTTAACATGTGAAAGGGGAGATGAAAATTCCCATTCATTTTGGAAACTCAATTGAATTGAACAAACGACATGACGAGAAAGATAAACTGATTACTTATCATGTAAAACATATTGAACAACAGCATGATAGAGCCTGAGATTCTGAAAAAGATGATGGAATGAGTTTTTTTTCCTGTAAAGAAATTAATTGCTGTGTAAACGGAGTTAATCATTTCAATAGATTTAATTGAAATTATATTTCATTAGCATCCATTGATTGTCAAAGCTCAATTTCATTTTCGCAATTGATTAAACTTAAACAATGAGAGACAGTAAATTATTCATACGCTGATATAACAATTGAAAAGATTAGATTGAAAAAGACAAAGACTCTTTCATGGTACTTGGAGTGATATTTTCCATAGAGATAAAATTTCATGATCATTTGAAAAGTTTCTGAACTTTTTTCTCTCATCTTGAAAACCTAAGCTCTTTTTTTTCAACGAAACCTTTTAATCCTTATCTTTATTAATTCATTCACTGGGATTAAAGTGAATCATTTTCAACAATTAAATGATGATTATCATGATCATCGTTACCATTATTCAGCTATGAACTTTTTGGTTTCTCTTTTTTTATTCATCAATTTTTGGAGGAACTGAAATTTCCTCATGATTATCCTTCCATCATTTAGAATCTAATTTTGATTGTAATCATCCTCATCATACAATTTGATTTATTCAGTTGATTTAATGTTTATCCAGTTGAACTTTTTTTCTGCTCCTCGTGTTATTAGTTGAATACATTAAATCAAATGATTATAATCAAATGTTACCGAGCAATGAACAAAAAAACACTGAATCAGATCAAGTGATGAATCAAGAATCAAATCAAATTGTAAATGCAAATCATTTTACACTCAACAATCAACAGATTGATTATCATCAATTGTATGTTTCTCATTGTTGTAAATTGTTATCAGAATTACTTTTGATTGTATTGTTCAATCATCGATAAATGTTTTCGCTGATGATTTTATTTCAGTTGATTCAAAAAAAAAGTAATCAAGCCAATAAATGATTAGTAAATTTATTGAAAAAAAAGTAGTTGACTTGCAATTAATTGATTGCTGATTGTAGTTGATTAAATATCTAATTAGTTGATGGTGTTTACTAAAGTTCATTCATGTTCAACATGAGATGATTAAAGAGGAACCATCCGATTCTGTATCATTACGATAGCATGAGAATTACCCTGAGGGCTTTCAGAATAATATATTCATCATATTTCAAACATTAACACTTTCCATATAATCATCATGATGTAATATTTGAACAACATATAAACACCATGAATCTAAATATGAGCTGGAATTGTTTGGGTTTACAAAATTCAGATTCGCTATATGATTAACAACTTTTCTATCCAATGAAAATTTTTCTATCCAAAATATATCATTTAGTTATTTATTTTTTTCTTTTTTATATTCGAAAAGAAAATTGGGTTCTCATTTTTATCATGCTCTATTTTTCAGATCTTCTATCATGTTCATAAGCACCTTGTCGATGGACTATATCCTCTGGCTGAGGAACTCAATCGATTACTTTTATCGACATCGATTCCGATATTAAGTCCAATGGATAAACTCGATGCTCTCGATTCCCTGAATTCAATTCTTAAAGCTAAGGTTCGAATAAAGTTGGACGAAGATGAAGATCGAGATCATCTATTTATCAAGGTATTTATAATATTAACATCTAAAAGAAAACTGAGAAATTGTCATTTCCATGATATTACAGAACTTTTATTCTCACTTAATTTTGAATATTCAGTTTAAATTGATTGTGCCTCAAGTGAAAAAAGTGTAACATTTGAATAAATTAGTTGATATTCTCGAGGAATTGAAGAAGAAAAATAAAATACTAGAACTTCTTAGAACTTTTCTTTTTTCGAACTCAATCAAACATTAATCTTCATTGACATTGAGTCTCATGAATGAATAATATCCCATAAAGAAATTGATAATAATTGAATTCATTCGAAGGAGATTCAATCGAATGAAAATTAAATCTACCTGAGATTCACCTTTACTCGTGAAAGGTTGAAAGATGCAAATAAATTGAGTTGATTTGATAAACTTTTCAAACTATTCACAATTGGATTAATTTCAATTCAGTTTATGATTGTTATTAAATAATGATTTTCAAATCCTTTTAGCTGATTATTATTATTATTATAAATGATACAGAATAATAAATAATATTGAATAAGATCCGTTATCATGGATGAAAACTATTCACAATTATTTTTTTCCCCAATCAATTGTTGATTGTTAATCAAGTTTTTTTTTCTAGGCACACACACAATCAGTTGATTGCTTGATTCTTTGATATTGACTAAAAGATCATGAGTTGATTATTTCAGCCTCAGGTGATTAAGGAAATTGAGTTTATCATGATCAAGATTAAATAAAAGATCAGGATAAAAATCGTAACTTTCAAATATAAACTTTTAGCATTTTAAATTCATTGATATGAGAAATGAAATGCTCATTATTTATCAGGTTTACTGTTATATCATCATGATTAGTAATTTATATTGATTCAATTGTAATGTTGAGACAAAATTAAAATGATTGATATAAGTTAAGTAGTCTCATGATCGTGCTGATGATTATATTGATTACGTTTAATTGAAAATTGATGAGATGTAATCATAATCACCGTTGACATTGTTAATTTAGGTGAGATCAATAGTTAATTAATCATAAATCTCATCAACCAATCAAATTATTATTAATAACAACAATTAATAAGAATGAGAAAAAAAAGTCAAATCATTGAACAGACTAAAGTTAATCCATTTGAATAGTAAACTGATCAAGTTACAACAAGTGATAATCAACTGATTGTTATTGTTTACCCACTCAAACTGTACAACAATTAAGTGAGAAAAAAAGTTCATTATCTAAATTGCAATTAACTAATTCAATTGTTTTCCAATTGATCAGTCACTCATTTCCAGTTCCGAGCAACTTTTGACCAAACTTCCATTAACTTTTACCATTGAGACGGAGAAAAATGTAAGTATTGAAGATTATCATGTACTATTGAATTCTAAATGTAAATCCGATGAAAAGTTCAGTTTCAATGGTCAATTATTTTCAAGAGAAAAAGACAATTCTTATTAAAAGATAAAAATCATTTTTCGGTGAAAGATCATGATAATAACGATAAATCATGGAACCCAAATGATAATCATCTGTTAAGGAAACTATTAATTCAGACAATATCCACCTTCTCAAGATTATTATCATCATCATCATCATTTACTTTGATCATCTTTCTTTATCTTCATTGAATCATCATCATCATCACCATCATTTTGTAGTCTTCTCAGTTTACCTGCTATTTTGGCTCTTTTTTCCCTTACCTTTTGATTTCTTATCATATGATATTCTTCATTATCATCTAAGTAACCATAGTAACCAGAATTTTTCTCATTCTATTTTTATCTTTACCTTTGGTTGAACATTAGCAAGAGGAACATATCAAAACAATTGGAAAGATTGAGCGAGAAGTTTAATTTATCATTGGAATCGGTTGTTTGTTTTCATTTGAAAATTTCATCTTAAAGACTAAAATCTCATTTATTTCATGATAGAAAATGATGATCAGCATCAACATGGTGATACAAAAAAACTTTAGCTTCAACTAAAAAGTTTTCACTTGTCCAAATGTTTTAAACATGTCACCTAATCATGTTATCATTCTGGTCTCATGATATCATATTATATAGTGAGAGTAAATGTTTATCAAAAGAGAGAAAGAGAGAGAGAAAATGATAACTTTTGTATCTTCATCTTTACCTGCAAAGTTACTCATGTAACTTCATGATAAGTTCAGAGATTTTCGTGAGATAAGGAAAAGAAAATATCTTCACTCTTTGTTCATTTTCTGTCGTCTCAAGTTCAACTGAATAGACAAGATGATATGAGACTTTTTCTCTTGTAAAATTTTTCTCTCTCTCTCTCTATTTCTTCATGATAACATCAGAACTTTTCTCCTCTTTATGATAACGTTGACATTTTGGACATGTTTTTGTCAACAAAAATATTGTTGTTTTTACAGTTATCTCTCTTTTACAAAGGTTCATACATCTTCAACTCTTCCACTCACAGCATTACCCCTTCTTTCATGCATTGTATAATATTTTATGAATCAGGGAAGGATGAAATTCTTGACCATCAATAGCTAATTTAAAGTTACATAAAGTCATCCTCTGGCTCGATTTTTTTATATATCATCTCAAAGATTCTTGCTAGAGATAGCTCAGAGATTATTAAGATAACATGATTAAATTATCGAGATATATCCAATCGAATCAAAATTTACTAATAGTTAAACAATGAGCCGAAACAAAAACTTTCGACCATTGAAACTTGCCAATTTCTCTTTATAACCATATCATGGTGATTGCGATTGAATTTAGATTCGTTTAGAAGCTTGAAATTGTGCTTTAATGATTTGAGAAAAAAAGATTTTGTGAGATTTTCAGGATAATAGAATGATCGGCAATGAACTTTGTAAATATACTCATGGGAGGATTGAATATTATTCAGAAGATAAATAATCATTTTGATGATAAGAAAATTATCGAAAAAATATATTATTTACCGATGAAAAAGAAAGAAAAAGTTCATGGTAGAAATGATGATTTCATCAGGGGAATTGAGTAGATAAATCATGAAACTGAGCAGATAAGTTGATCAGCATCGTCGTCATCATGAAGATAAAAGATGATCACTTCTCAAACACATTCAATCAACGGAGGCTAAAAAAATAACATGTTGGGTGGAATAAAACATTGAGAGAAAATATTATATATCGAAAGAAAATTCGAAAAGAAAAAAGTTCTGCTGAGAATGAGTCGAACAGGCAAAAAATTGAAGGAAAACAATCACTTTTCGACTTCGAAATGTTAGTGTCATGATCGAGTTTACTGAAGCTGAAAAACCCCTTAGGGTGTAAATATCGGAAGATTTTGCTCTCTCTCTCTCTCTCTCTCTCTTCGTGAATTTTACGATAAAATGATCCCGATAATGATTATCTTCATGATGATTAACTTATTCTGGAAAAATGAATTACTCTCTAATCAGAAAACAGGGTAAGAAACTGTTTTCCGAAACTAATCTGAACTTTTTCGAGTTAAAAGTTCTAACTATTCAAAAGTTATTCCAAAATAATTATTCTTCTAATCATCTTGAGTTATCATCCTGAATCATTATCATCACCTTAGGTCTCTGTATTACCTGATCTTATTTGTTTTTCTTGTTCATCTCTCACCTTTTTTTTTATCTTCCACTACTTTTGATGATTGTTACTCTTTTCTTATTCCAATTTTTCTTCTACCCTCAGGCTCTATTAACCATGAAATCTGCTGAAACTATATTCGGACTTAAAGCACTTTCAGAATCACTACTCAGAACTCTGATTGTTTTCTGTAACGATGGAACCATCCGTCGAATCAAATCTTTCAATTCGATCACCAAGAACATAGGTAAGTTAATCGCCTTATCCTAATCATCATTACAATTCATTTTCCACCTTATGATCTTTCTCATCCAATCTCAAGCCCCTTAATCTTCATCACCTCCAAATAGCTCCTCATCATCGTCTCTCTCATGCTTTTTACTATCATGTTGTATCTTTGGGTTAAGTTTCCTTTCCGCATCTTCCTCATCATCTTAAAAACTAATCTCTTACTTTGTGTTGATACTCACTGATAATCATTATTTACTTGGTGTATCAAATTTCAATTTGCAAATAATGATGAGTATTACTGTCAATTCTGTGATGATAATTTCATCTTCCTCTTTATTCACATTATCTTTGACCCTGTAAATGACAGTTTTCAGTTAGATCATGTTATCAACCATTATTATAACGGTAAAATCAATATAACAGATAATAAATGTATTCATAAAATGATAAAATTCAATGATGATGATGATGATGATGATAAGATAGAAAGAGAGAGAGAGAGTAAAAAAGTTGGAATCATTTTTTTTTCATCAATTTTAACATACTTTCTGTTCATACTTCAATAACATCCCATCATCATTACCAATTGTAATACAGAAAAACTAAGAACTTTTTTCAAATCACCGATAATCTGAATAATAGATTAGATGAGTTGAAGGAAATTCAGAATTCACCTTCATTTTATGTTCATCTTTTGTGATAAAAATAATATAAAATCTGGTGATGGTAATGACGATCATCATGATTGAGTTATCAAAGCTTTTATCAAGTTACTAGATGAGATTATTGCTAACCAAATCGATGGAAAGAAAAAGTTTTTCCTCTTCTTTTGTTAATTTTTCTCACTATTACTTGTTTAATCTGATGTAGATTTGATTTGAAATGTTCACTGATCAAATGAATTTCAGTTGAGTTTATCAATGAAATTTCAATGAAATCAATGAATCGATTTCATGAAGATGCTAAACAACAATATTGACAAAAGCTCATGAAAAGATTGATAGATTCAAGTTGATATAAAAGGTGATTCGGTTTTTTTTTTCTGAAAGGGGAAAACTTTTCTACTATTATTCATGATGGTTCTATGGAGTCTGAATTGATTCATTGGCTTTTGACAGATTATGAGTTACACAAGTTGATTGGCAATCAATTGAATTCCACCATGAACATTGAATAGTTAATTGATTCCACTTAGGGATGAAGCTAAAGTCACTCCCATTCAATGTGAAAGTTTTTTTTTCTGTATCAGGTAAAAATTACCTGATGATGTGGTTCCTCATCATGTTTACTTTTTCTTTGTCACTCTAGAATATCAGAGATTGTAAGATAAATTTAGGGAGATAGAGATGATGCTGGAAAACTTTCTGCATCATTATCATCATCATCTTTTTCTTGCTCATCCCCATCATCTTCATCATCTTCTTATAGACTGACAGGGAAGGTCCATTAAGCAATAAATCCTTGTTAACTTCTTAGGAAGGTGAATCTTAGCTCGAAAGGTAAAGTAATTTCAGGATAGAAACTCTGAAAACCTCCTCAAGAGATATGAAGAGAGAGAGAGAGAGAGAGAGAGAGAAATAAAATTCCCATCCCCATGAAATCACCATCAGAATATCATGGAGGAAAAGTATACACTTGAGATAGTAAACTGAACGAGAATGAGTCATGATGATTGAGAATCAACTTAATTCAAAATGAAAAGTTCATGATGATTGATTGAACTTTCGGAAAATTTACTCCAAATGAATCTGATCAGTCTTTTTCTACCTAAAGATATTGACGGTACAAGTTTTCAATTCGAAACTCTAAAATTTTTTCCCATACCAGTTCGAAATTTTTTTCGAAACAAAAAAACTTTCAATCGTCTTTTACCTTATCATGATATTATCTTTATTCCTCTGATTCTTTCATAGCTATAACATTAACCCACATCACTCCCTTTGGTGATCGCATTTCCTTATTACATTCAGAATTAAATTCTGACTCAATTGAGATGGAATCAGATAAACAGAATAATTCTGAACACCCAAATAGACCCAAAGCTCATATTTTTCTAGACGGTAAGATAACTAATTAATCAAACGATTAAATTGATTGTTTCAATATCTCAGTATTTTCCATGATGATTGATCATTCATTTTACTTTGACAGATTTACGACGATATGGAATTGGTATATCAGAGATTTGCCTTCATTTAATTGGAAATGATTTTAATACCGATACAATTAATTTAATCAGTGATTTAATTGTGATCTCAGTGGTTCCTCCAATTTCAATTGAAGCCAATTTTGAGCGGATACCTCAAGTTGAGATTGATTTTAATCTTACACCAAGTGAATTAAGATTAGCAAGTGATAATTTAATCTGTGGGAAAATTAAATCACCAAGAGAGTAAGTAATCAATTACTTAATCATGTTGCAAAGATTAAAATTTATGACAATTAATTGTCATTATCAAGCTGATGACAAAACCAATTGAGTAAAAAATGAGGTTGAAAGGTTTACTGATTGAAATCAGTGAATTGTTGATCGTTGAAACAATTAAGAGTTTAAATATAATCAAAGATAAATTATCGTAACATTTCAACGTTGATGATTATTGCTGTTAATGACCATGATATTGAACTGATTACAATTAATTAATGGACAGTAATTAAATAAGATCAGATTATCGATGATTTGAAAAGTTATTGAAAAACTTTTCTGACCATTAAAAAAATCTCATTAATGATATTTGTTTACAATTCAATCTCAATTGAAATCTAATCTCGAGTTCAACTGAACTTTGAAAATTTAATTTCCAATTTTGGAATTATTTTTCCATTCAGAATTTATCGATTCTGAAAATTTCTTCAATGAATTCACAAAACGATATAAATAGAATGTTACATTTACTCAGAAACGTATGAATTCCGTATCATGGGAATTGAATCATGAGTGGAAATGGAAGCTCAATGAGCTATCAGATTATTTTGAATTAGAAAAGTGGAGAAAAAAAAATTCAATGGAAAGAAAAACGAGAAAATGAACTTTTTATTTCTTCTAATATCGAATCAATTTCTCGAATTTGTGATTCATTTATTGACCAGGATTCTGATAATGATAATACTTTTTGAGAGGAGCATCATCATGATGATATTTAATGTGAGACAAGTTGTTTGGGTTAATAATCGTGTTCCATTGGAAATGAGAATTATTCTATTTTTCTCTTGGAACATTTTTCCCTTTAATCTATTCTTTTGCTTTTTGTCTTGAACGATAATTTAATTTCAACAGATCGATTCCAAACTCGAATCCTTTAGATGATTGTTCAACCTTCAATTTTCAACTTGGATTCCTATTCCTCCCTTTTATCCAGTCAATTGCTTACCATGATAACTCCCATTTCTCCTCCTTCCAGTAATCACCTTGCTCCTTTTATATTGTCTTCGAATACAAATATTATCATCTGAAAAAAAAAGAAGCAAAAAGTTCTGAGCCTTGAGAAAAATTTCAATTTGTAGACAGTTCGAAGGGAAGAAATTTTTTTATTTTCTTCTTATCGAAAATTCTTAGTATATCAGAATTCAAAATCATCATGGATATCATGTTCAGCTCTCCCTCTCTCTCTCTCTCCCTGCCTGATTTTAAACAATCTGAACTCTGATAAACATTTCTGATGACCTTTATCATGTAAGGTTATCTTTCATCTCTGATGAACTTTTTATTATGATGAGATAGCAACGATCAATGTGGTTAGACAATTGATAAACCATTTTGTTGGTGTATAATTTCATGATTACTGAGTTTTATTTTAAAAAAAGTTCAGAATGAGATTCATGATAAATTGAATTTTTATACCCACACACACATACAAATAAAACATTTCAAATCTACAGAAAAAAAAATCTCATGAACATGATAAAAAATTCAGAGCGCAAAAATCATTATGATTTCTATTATCATCATCATTTCATCAAAATAAATTAATATCAATCATTTAATCACGAGAAGAATCATCATGAAAGAGATTTAAAAAAAGGTTCTGAATTCTTATTCTCATTTTTTTTGTTCTTCTCGATACTTTTGTATTTAACCAGAACTTTCAGTCTAAATGTTGAGGGAGAAAAGTTTCACTTTGATTTGGAAAGAAATCTCCAAAAATTCTGGATATATTACATGATGAATTCTGATGTTGATGGTGAAGAAAAAAATAGTAAAATATTTGAAAAATTTTTCTTTCAATTTTCAACCAAGAATAAAAGTTTCTTTCATCGAGTTACTCATTCACCAGCATGAGTTTTTTTCCCTTCTCTCCGAGTAAAATGTTAACAATGGCGGCGAAATATCAATTTAAAGTTTTATTATCAATGGAGCTGATGATCAAGGGTAAATATCAAGAATTTAAAGTTCCTAGAATCCTGAACAAGATTCTATGGGTGTTAATAATAATGGTACATGAAGGTGGGTGTAAATGTTGGAAGAAGGTGAAAAGAATTTTCTTTTTTCTCTTCCACATCTTCCATCATTTTCATCGTAACTTATGATTCAACACAATAAATGTCACATCGAAATACTCAATAACCTATAGCATATTATCGTCAATTATTATCATGATTATCATGTGAATTTGTTGAATACTTTTCCTTTCAGAATCTTTTCAATGTTGTTCATACATATTTGAAATCACGAACCAATGAAATAACATCTTTAGTTTTTTATTCAATTTTCTGACTGAACAAAACATGATTGAACTGACCACTGATAATTGTCATCTAAAAGATAAAAGATCAAGACCTCGAAACTTACTCTTTCACCAATGACCTAAATGATCTTGATGTTTCAATGTGATAATTGAGTATCGCTCAAGCTCATACCGCTCAAGTCTCGAGTCTCTGGGACTTATTGTTGCTAAAAATCACAAAAAAATCGGTAAAAAAGCTGAATGATAGCCCTGTATGTTTATTATGTTCAAGGATTCATTAAATGAATACAGATTAACAGAGGAAAAATCTATGCATAAACAGGAATACATCTTATGTATAATAATAAGATTCATACACGAAAACTCATTGGGAATTATATAATTTTCCCTTAGAAGGTAAAAAGAAAGACAGAATTACGAATAAGTAGAAAAAAGTTCCTAACTTATTCTCAGTTGATGAGGTAAAAGTGGTGATTCTGAGACTGGAAGAGATTCAAGTAGATATACCATGGAGTATAATTGTATCTGGAAGTGAAAATGCTGAAAGGTAATATTATCACGTTTTTCTGAACAAGTTGAATACATGGAAACATCTTGATAATGATTCTGATAACATGGAACTGATTAAAAGAAGGAAAAATGATTCCAATCAATTACAAACTCTGTGACTTATTCAGCCATTGATAAGAATCAATTTGACTATCAATTGATTTCCTTGATTTTAGTGTAAATATTATTATATCATCCAAATTGGAAATTAACCAAATAAATAAACATGAACGGAAAGAAGGTCAATTCAATTGAAAGTTTCAGAACTTTTTCTCTTTCTCTTATTCTACTTCATGATGAAGCATAATAATCAATTGATGGAAAGTCAATTCAACACTAATTCTGCTAATTAGATAACTTATAGATATAAATAGAAACAGATATGTAAATGTATTGTAAATGTTTCAGGGTAAAGTTCAGATAAGATCTGATTACGATTATTTCATTTCTGTTATTATTTCTCAGCATTTTAGATGTCCGGTTATTTGATTAAATGGACAATCGATTAGCATATCTAATGTTATTTTCTTGGACTTCAGGACTCAGCTGATTTCCATTGATTTACTTCATTGTGACTTATCGTGTCCATCATGATGTTTAAATGGTGACGAGTGTTGGTCAACCTTTTTTTTTGCTATTTTTTGGTAATGATGACGGACAGTAAGTTAGGATGTTTATAAATGTGGACAAATGTATTACATGGTAAAAGAAACATTGATAAATTTTTCTCATTCAATGAACATGAGAAATGAATTGAAAAGGAAACTTGATGTAACCATATTCATGAATAAAATGGTAGTCATTTCTCATGGTAAAAGTATGATATTATTACTCTTATTATCAGCATGATAAATATTACATTTCATGAGTTGATTCAAGTTTCGTCATGGAATCTAAATCATTCATGATACAATTCCTGAAAATGTTTCTTTTTTCCCTTAACTTCATATGCTGGCTCTCTTAATGATGACCAAATATTGCATATAAGTTATTTTACCTTGGTCATTATTTGGTCCATTCGAGTGAATCTTATAAGTTCAATTTCAATTTTCGCCAAGAAAATATAACCAATAGTTAATTGATTTGCTCATTACCATGAATCTGACTGAAGATTGGATGAATTTACAAAGTGAAAACTGTCACCATGAAATGGACATAAAACCTTATCAGTTGAACTTTCAATTTATCTGGTAATATAATATGAAAACGGTAAATCTCATGAATTCAATAGAGATGATCATATGAACTTTCAATATTGAATAGAACTTTTTTTTCCTCGAATTGATTCAACAGTTAACATTATAATCATCGCTGGTTAAAAATAGGTTGAACTTTTATAATGAGTTGATGGTGTATATTCAATGGTTTTGTCATTTACTTTTGTACCATGGAAATAATTTCATGGTATTCCATTCATTTAATAGAGAAAATCAAAATTAATACAAAGTTTTCTTTTCTTCTTTTATGATTATTGTCATATAATAATTATTGCGATAAACAAAAAACCAATACACAGACTTTGGAGTCAAAGGGAATGTCAAATTATTTATCGAAATTCAAGTTTCATTAGATGTTCCTGTTCAGAACTTGGTGTTTTCGGAATAATCCATGTAAAAAGTTCAACCTTCCAGCAACATTCATATAATCACCATCACAGTCAATGTCATTTTAATCCGCTTACTCTTTACTTTTCCTCTGGTCTAAGTTTAATACTTATCCTAATTACCATGGTTGGACAGATGAGCACCATGATAAAATGTCAGAATCATTGGAAATCATGTTACATTTTACTTAATCTTTTAACAAGTTTAGCACTAATTGAAATTATATTCCTATTCGGTGGTCCTATTCATTCATCATCATTTTCATATCAACAACTATTGCCTTCATCATCATCATCATTATCATCAGGTTCACATATAAGTTCACCTCAATTCTGGACATCATGTAAAGTGATTTCAATGATTCTTCATTATTTACATCTTGTAGCGGCATTTACAATGTTATCTTATTCAATTTATCTTTTCAAGAAACTTTGGCGTTACCATGAAGATATTATCATGATAACCGATGTTAATAACAATAGTGAATCATCATCATGCTATTCAGATACCATTGGGTCAACAATATTACCAATTACAGTGACCACATCCAATAATAACAATAGCAACAATAGTCAACAACAGTTAAGTGAGTCTATTCAATCAACTAATCACAATCAATATTATCAGACTCGACAACAACAACAACAACAACAACAAACTATTCAGCGATCACAAAGCCTCTCAGCATCATCTTCATATTCATCTTTTCCTTATTCATTTTCATCCTCATCTTCATCTTCCTCTACAACACCAGCAACCACTGATTCGTATGAAAATGCCTTAATCACTTGGAATCAGCCCAATCTTCATAAAGAACCAGAATCACGTCAAATTGTCCATCTACTTTTATTCACTTGGGCTGGACCTTTACTTTGTGTTGTTACATCAAACATCATCAACCCTCTTGGATATGAAACCAAAAGATAGTAAGTTTATCATGAAAATTTCAACTCCAATATCCAGATAACAAAAAAAAATATCAATTCCTTGAAATGCAAAATCAAATGACAAGTTAAATGTCAAATAAAATGTATGCAAACATAACAAACTTCATAATAGTCGAAAGTTTTACATGACAATCATTACGATTTTGTCTGTGTGTATGGAAGTGTCAATCTAGTCTGTTTTCATTTCAATGTTTTCAGTCATTTCAGGGTAAAAATGAATCATGTTAGGTGTTAATAAATATACGAGTTCGACTTCAATATGAGCAATGAATTGAATTTATTTTCTTTTCGTTGGAAAAAAACAAACCTCAGTAGATAGTTTTTACTTTTTCTTCCTCCATGTAAAGACTGAGATTTTTTCTTTACCTCTCCCATTGGAATTGCCTGGGATTTTCGGTGAAAAAATGATTGTCCATCATTGAACTTGGAGTTTAGTTAAAGAATCACAAAATGATCAGTAACGGTAATTGGATGAATATCCAAATCATGTTGAAGATAAATCTAGTCCATTCCATCGTATTGTTTATACACCGATCATGGTGAAGCCTTGAAACTTTCTTGTAGTTGATTGATTGTTCAAACTGTAGTTTAACTTTTCTGATATATTACAAATGTAATTAGATTAAATTGTCAACTATAAATTTACCTCAATTGATTCAAAAGTGAGCGACTTGAATTACTATGAAAAGGGATTTTCAATACAAGAAGAAAAATGTAATTCCAATGATAATGAAAAATAACATATAACATTTGAAGTATTAATAGGAAAACATGAGGATGAAGAAGACAAAAAGTGCATTACAATTGATGGTCAATTTGAAAGGAATAGAAAATGGATTTATCTTCATCTTTAAAGAAAAACCATTGATAATATTGGAAGTGTTTTCGCTTTCATTTAATTCTTTGTCCTTTTCCTCTCTCTCTCGTTCACCTTATCTTCATCTCTTTTTCATCATCTTATTTCTTGAGGTTATCATGATGATAGAAATAAAATAAACCGGAACTCAATCAAAGAATCAAATTATAGATCGAACAGAACTGTTTCTTCAGAAAGAAAAAAAATTCTAACGGTAAAAAATGTAACATATGAGAAGACGTAAGAGATGAAGACGATTAAGATATGAAGATTAAAACAGAGAATTAAATCTCTCTCTCTCTCTCTCTCTCTGACCTTCGTCTTCATCCTTACAAAGCCTTTTATTTAGTTGATGATTTTCCTCTTCTACTCCTTCCACTCCTTCATCTTCTCACACTGACCCACCCTCTCCTCTTCATGATGCATCCTCATCTTCACATCTTTTACAATTTTATCAACCCAGTTTATCATCTGATTCAACTAATAGACAATAGTTAGAGTCACTTTCCTTGATTCCTTTGATAAACTTGTCCAAATTGAGACATTTTATCGGTCCACTGATTGTCCACTTTTTGTCCATCATAATCATCATCATCTAACATCATCATAAATACATAAGATTTTTTTTTCTTATTTTTGTTTCTCCCTGAAAACAAAATTTCACAAGATAAACATGGTGATGATGATGATAAATCATATTCCTTATCCTTTATCATAATAATAATAATCTTGACAATATAATGTCCAACTCTAGCAGTGGACAATATGAAGATGTTTGAACATGAAACGTGTTCTTATTATCATTTCAATTGGGTTCACCATATTTCATGAGCATTTTCATGAGAAAATATTATCATGATTATTGAACTAATCTATTAAGTTTATCCAAGTAGAAATAAATTTTATCTCAACAATGAGAAAAACTTTTTCAAAAAAGTAACATTTACATTCAATTGTGTCACAGGTAATAAAAGTGTAACAATTTACAAATTGTTACATGATAATGAATTGCAATCAACTACAAATCCTAATATCAACACTTGATAATATTTATAGATATACAATTAAATTGTTGCTTATTCAATAGTTTTGATTGTTAATGATCATCATTAATAATGGTAAATTCATCAGTAAATTTAGCTCATTGTTTGGGGAAAAAAACTCAAGTTTCACTTGAAACTTTTTCGCTCTGAGTTTTCAGATTTTCTCATTAGCATTTAGTAAGCAATTTACAGGGGGGAATTAAGAAAATGAACATAATTAAAGTGAATAATGATAATTCAAGAGCTTTTTCTTATGTGATCTGAATTGAGAATTGATGAGGAAACCCCATTGGAAAGCTAGAATTCCAGATGAGAAAAGTTCATTAAGAAAGTTACTAAAGATTCAGTTTTGTTGAGCTTTTTATCAACCGTTTAGGTAAATGGATAATTGTATTCATGATATTCAGTGACCATTATCATGTACAATTATTCAGCGATTGAAGCTTTGCCATTAATTTATTATGAGTTTATCTTCATCGATCTATCTGGTTATTAGATGGTTCATACTTGAAGCGTTCATTTTCATGGTCAGTTGAGTTCATCATGAAGATAAGGAAACGTGAATCTGATTCATTTTCATCGATTTAACTTATTGATGATATGATGGCAAAAATCACTTCCACCTCGAATAAGATGATTCCTGTCCATGATTTTCCAGAATCAGAGTTAGAATCTCGATAAAGTTCACTCTGAATTCCTCCATGAGGCTGAATAAAATGATTGGATGATGAACTTTCCATGAAACTTTCCTCTCTCCTCTTGTAACAATTTCCGTTTCTCGGTATTCAGTCTAATCCAAATCTTTCATTTTCATCATTATCGTTTTCTTGATTCAATCAAAAATCAAGAGTTTCACTCAGAATTGATCTAAATTATGAATACTCAAAGTTAGAATTTGAATAATCACATCATTTGAAAATTTTCTATTCTATTTTCATTTCTCACCTGTTTCCTTTCCGTTTCCTGTTTCATTCTATTTTCAATCATTTTTTTCCATCTTTTCTATTCAAATTTTTTCCACCATTAAATCTGCAGCCTTATTGTGATAATTATATATTCTTTCACATACTAACCGAACGATGATCTCATTATCTTTCCACTATGAATCAACATCATGCATATTAAATCTCGATAAAGTTCTGGTGGATTGTGAATAACAGGGTAGGTGATTGTTTGATATTCCAGAAGAAAATATTCCCTCCATTTGGCAACATTGTTACATCACAATAACAAGAATATGGATTATATTGAATAGAAGAGAAATTTTCATAAAATTTGAAAGTTTACATGATAAGAATTCTGATAATGTCAATAATCCATGTTTAGCTTTCTAGATGTTCATCTAATTGATTTAGAATTTAAATGTCAATATAGTCGGAAGAAAATTTGAGTTCATGGGAAATTGACGGAAAAATCTTGGAATCGAATCACATATTTCTTTGGAAGAAGATTGTTCAATACCAGAACTTTATTCTCATCTTCACTTCATGATCAATCGAATTGAGATGAACTTTCATGGAAATGATTCATAATTCTCTTTATTTGAATTGAGTCAAGTCCAGAAAGAGTTTCATTAATAATGAAAAGAGAATTTCTCAGAATTTTCATAATAAATATACCGATGTTTGAACAATTCCATGTCAATGACATGATGTTTATCATGAAAGAATTATAATTCAAAAGTTGACATTGAAATGTTGATAACTTATTAATATTTACAGTTTTTTACGATTTCATTGAAAGTTTTGTATTAAAATTTCAGGTACAGAAGAAAATTTCATCACCATGGTTGAATCTCTCCCAGAGAACTTGAAATCTACATGTAAAAATATGTAAATCAGTTGAAATTTTCATGTGTATCTGATCATGGGAGTGATGATTGTGGTAAAGGTGACGACAAGTCAACAGACTTTGAAATTTTAATTGTATAATAATAATAATAATCAGATAAAATAATTATTTACTATATGATAGTAATCAATTTCAATCGATGAAAGTTTATCCCCTAAGATTCATGATCAGAATTGATTACCTTTCATGATAATCATCCTGATGTTATAAATACATATTTAAATACATTATCACATGATTAACAGAGCTGAACCTTTTGATTGAAACAGAATCAACATCAGAATCCTGACTGATTAAATTGATTGGTTGAAAAATGTAGAGTGAGAAAGGTATTAATAAATTAACTGAAAATTGATTCATGAGACTTGAAAGTGACAAAACATGATTATGATTATGACGATGATGCTGATGAACATAATTACCTTTGAAAATTTTGAGTCTCACCGGAGGACTGAGTTCAATTGGAATAGATTATTGTTCATTGGGATGAGGTGTGAGAATCATGAATCTATCCACCCCAATTTCAGTGTCAAGTTAAGTTAATTTAGCTGATTAATGTTATTTAAATTCAATTTAAATATGATTAAACTCAATGTCAAGCAACACCTTTTTCATTCAGGTTATCCTGTCAAAATCAATCATGAGGATATCCAGAGACTCACTGACATTTGATATTTCTGGATAATTATTCAAATAATGAATGATAATCATGGGCTTGTGATGAATTTCAGTTTTATTCAATTTTCTGAATATTTTGGAAAAAATTTACGACAGGACAAAGTTCTGACACATGGGAGAATTCAATAGTTATGAACTATCATGAGCCTATTGGAAATTATTTCGGTTTTTCTCATCTCGAGGAAATTGAGTATGAACCTTTTTTTCCTGTTTCTATTTCAAAAGGAAATTAATTTGTTTCAATTGATAATTTTCACTCAGTTCAGAATGATCATCATGAATCATTGATGTATTTTCCTGGATTTCATAAGTTTGCAGGGAAAGATGAAGATGGATACTCATTTGGAATCATTGATTGATTATCTATTCTGAGTTAGAATTGAAATAATTGTCAAAATGATGATTTTTGATGTTACCTTTACAAATTGATAAATTGTTTTTTCCACTTAAACTGAAACTTTCTAATGACTGGAATACATGTTATGTTGATTATCATGATGATTCTCACCATGAAAGAGTAACAACTTCAAATGATCAAATGACCTGAACAA